GTGTTAGAATACCTGGTGTTTTCATTTGTGCTATCTTTTTGACATGTCTTTTGTGGTTCCGTCTACACTCTTCACTTCTGACTCATGGTTTATTTTCGAGTTAAGTCATTAACAACTTGCGCTGGTTTAACGTGCAGGTATCTTTGAAGACAGAAAGGGAGAAGAAGAAAGAGATGTACTTTCCATTGAGAAAGTATGCCATTAAGGTTTAAGTATCCAAATCCAACTTAGATAGTCATTGTGATGTTAGAACTGGCAGAGCAAAGCCGTGTAACATTGTTCCGCACTGGGTGGCTATATTTTCTGTCATTCCTGTTGTTGCATTATGAAGTGGGAATTTTTGTTTGTTTCGTTTTTTCTAATGTTTTCCTGGTCAGAGAAGGTTCAGTTTTTAGTAGTTGTGTTCAAGCCTAGTTATCTGTCTTCATGCATGTGATATGTTTTACAAGATTTAATTCACCTCTTTGCCGAGATTTTGTTCAGCATCAAGGTGATGAGGTGTGCATCTCATCACCAGTGAGCTCTGTTTTGACTAGCGTAGCACTGGATAGATAATGGGTTCCCCCCTGTCCTTGTTTTATTAACTCGACTATTGTCTGCATCCGAGTTTTAACCCATGACGTTCCTCACACATAACATAACATGCTGTAATTCATATGGCTGTAAGATTTGTTTGGAAAATTTAACATCTGTTTGCGAACAAAAATCACAAGCCTCCAAGGTTGCATGGAATGGCTATTTAATTTAAGGAAAAGGGCCAATATCCCTAAGGTATTGAAAATGGCTCAATTTTGCACTCCTTCCACCTTTTGGGCCATAAATGCCCTTAATGTTAGTTTTTGAATTCAAACTTACCCTTATATCTAACAAAAGGGCTAACAATACCTCTAACATATTGAAAATGGCTTAGAAATATCCTCTGTTAACTTTTTGGTCCGCAAATGCCCTTAACCTAGTTAATTTGTTAATTTTAATTTCACCATGTGACATTTTCTTAATTCGTCGTGTGTATTATTTGTATTAAATAAACCTACCTGTATCTTTTAAAATATTCAACGACCTTGGCCCGCTCCTATATATTTGGACTGTCGGCTAAAAATAATTACATTTGCTAGTTAAATATATAAAAAATATACATTGATTATAGATAAAAATATGTATATTATACATTAATATTTTAATATACATTTTACATGATATTATTTTTAGGAGAAATTATACGGTGTAGTTTTCCCTATTAATTATGATCTATAGTCTAAAATCCCCCAAATATTATCTTAAAACACATAATCTAGGTGTAGAAATCAATGGGTATTCAATATTAATGAATAAAAATGATCAAAAGTTACTTACTTCTCGAAATTTAGTGAAACCCCTCTCAAATATCGCCACTAGCCGAGCTTGTAAAGTCCAAAAATGAAGAAAAGACTCCACCCCCTATTATATATTCTGTCCAGGCATCTCGCACCTGCGATTTACTTAACCGCTTCTGCGGTCCCGCAAGTGCAGCAAAAAATCCCTCTTTTGCGGTTTCCCTTAAGGCCTCCTGCTTTCGCATCTGCAGACAAGACTTCGCTTCTGCGGAGGCGCACCTGTGCCCAAGACTCTGCTTCTGCGGAAACTCTTGCCCCTCGCATAATTCGCTACTGCGACCATCCTCCCATATCTGCGAGCTCACATTTGCGGAAACAACCTCGCACATGCGACCACTACCCAGCCTTGCCCCATTCCGCATCTGTGCCCTCATTGTTGCTTCTGCGGCTCCGCACCTGCGGTCTGTTCACGCATGTGCGATTACACAAAACCCGAAACCCAACAAATTTCCCATAAGTCCAACATTCATTCCGATATCAATTCGAAGCTCATCCAAGGCCCCCGGGACCCCATCCAAATATACCAACACATCCTAATACACGATATGAGCTTAGTCGAAGCCTCAAATCACATCAAACAACATCAAAAACATGAATCGCACCCCCATTAAAGTCTATTGAAACAAATGGATTTTCAACTTCTACAATCGATGTCGAAACCTATCAAACGAACTCCGATTGACCTCAAATTTTACACTCAAGTCATAAATGACACAACTGACCTATTCCAACTTTCGGAACCAAAATCCGAGGCCGGTATCAACAAAGCCAACTCTCGCTCAAACTTCTCAACTCTCTAAACCTTCAACTTTCCAACTTTCGCCAATTCAAGCCAAGACCACGTACGGACCTCCAAGTTGATATTCAGACACATTCATATGGACAAAATCACCATATGGAGCTATAAGAACCATCAAAACTCCATTCCGGAGTCGTTTACACATAAGTCAATATCCGGTCAACTCTTTTAACTTAGGCTTCCAACCTTGGGACTAAGTGTACCAATTTATTCCACAACATCCCCGGAACTAAACCAACCACCCCAGTAAGTCACATGACCACAAATGAACATAGAATAAGCAGTGAATGGGGGAACGAGGTTACAATACTCAAAATGACCGGCCGGGTCATTACATTCTCTCCCTATTAAACAAACGTTCGTTCTCGAACCGATCTAGAATCATACATGGAGTATCAAATAGGTGTGGATAGTTTCTCTGTATCTCCAGCTCAGTTTCCCAAGTAGCCTCCTCGACTGGCTGACCTCTCCACTGTACTTTCATTGAAGCTATGTAAGGCCCCGTAAAAATTTCGTAAAGGAATTTATGTTTTCGTGGTGCCGAACTAGGATAATGTGTTTGAGGAGTCATTTCTGGGGAGTAAAGGAAAATATTTTCGAGAAATGTCATTTCTGTGGCCCACTATGCGGTCGCAAAATCACTTTGTAGACCGCATAATGGCCGCAAAGCGAATCAGAGGCGGGGCAGCTTGGAGGAAGGTCTGCGGTGCATTATGCGACTGCAGACCAATTCTGCGGTGCATTATGCGACCGCAGACCAGTTCTGCGGGCCGCATAACTACCGCAGACCAAGCAGGCGGCAACAGTTTTGGGCACCAAATTGTACGGCTGATATGCTAACCGCATATCCATTCTTCGGTCGTATATGCGACCGTAGATCCTGTTCCAGAGCTTCATTTTTTTTTGTGTTTTTATAACTTGACCCTACTTCGTTAAATAGACGCAATGGACCATTACTTGAGCTAAAACCTGATGTTTTTAGAGTGAGAGAGTGCCCTAGAGTGGGAAAGTGTTCCTCAACAATTTATTCATCAATTCTTGCTCAAACCTTGGAAGATTAACAAGTAAAAACCACAAGGTATTCATCCTAAAAGTAAAATTCTACACTCTAACCCTCAATCTCGAATTTTATCTAGAATTGGGTAATTAGTAAGATAGATTTTGGGCATGAGAGTTGTCCATCTTGCATGCATGTGTTATCAAAGAGTGTAAGAAGATTGTTGAGCTAAGAATGGTAGATAATGGGGTTGGGATGATGGAAACCACCATAGGAGGACCTTGAAACTTTAATGCACATCTAGTGTTTGATAAAATGCTCAAATGAGCTAGAACCATGATCATCCTCCTAATTTTGGTTCAATTTGTTATATTTCTAAAATAGATTGAAGTTGCCAAGAATTCCGGAATATTTTGGAGTTTAAGGAAGCTCCATAGAGGTATGTTGGCTAAACTCCTCTCCTAGAATTAAATCCCACGGTATTCATGTAAATTATGTAAGTCCCAAATTGTTCATTATGAAAGTGGCTATTCCGAATAAGCTTGTGTTGAAATATATATGTTTAATATGTATCCCAAAATGCTTTTATCATGTTATGTTATCATTTGATAATATGTTCAAAGTATGGGCTGTGCATTAATAATGTTGCGACTTCAAGTCAAGTTCAAACGAAGGCTATTATGCCAATTTTTTGAAACATCTCTATGTGCCCAAGACTCTTAAATGCTCACATGTGTACTAAAGACATTGATTTGAAATGCCTTGTTGTGGATGATGATGATGATGTTTGAAAGTGAAAAAGGTGAGCGTGAAATATTAAATACGCCCGACGTGCCAATAATGACTTTATAATTGTGGCCACTAGTGCCAATGAAATGTAAAGATGCGAAAGAAGTATGAAATGAGATGATTGGTATAAGAAGGATGATATCTCTAAGGAGACGGCCTAGCCGATCGGGTCATGATCGGACGCCATGCCACACACATGGTGGTGATTGTGTTGGAAATTGTGATTGTGGTTGATGTCTCTAATGAGATGGCCTAGCCGATCGGGTCGTGATTAGACTCCGTGCTAAAAGAACGGTGGTATTGGTATTGTGAATATGGGTATCGTGAATGATGGCATATTGGTACTAAAGACCTCCCAACTTAAAATATGGAACGTTCGTTCAACGTTGTCTTGATCCTAATTTGAAGTTTGATGTTGTTTGAGGCTTCCACTGATATTATGATTGTACTTGCTCGTATTATTTATCATTCTACTGAGAGGGTATTTTGTCATTCATACTAGTACTATTCCATATGTACTAACGTTCCTTTTGCCGGGGGCGCTGCATCTTCAATGGATGCAGGTGGTTCCACAACAGGAGACATTGATAAGTGATAGCGGTACACCCTCTTCCCAACAGACTTGGTGAGCCCCTTTTCATTTCGAGGTCATGTATCTTTTGTTCCTTGTGTATTGTGTTTGAGGTATAGCCGGGACCTTGTTGCCGACATTATCATAATACTCTTCTGTATCTATTAGAGGCTCCGTAGACAAAATATAGGTTGTATATTGGTGCTGGGGAAGTCAAACAATGTTATGTTGTGTTTGAATTACTTGTTCCACTTTAGACCATGAAAATGTATGTGAAATTTGAGACTCTAAAATGATGTAATTAATGGTAAGAAATTGGTATTGAAGACATGATCACCTTATTGTCTAATCAACGAAAATATGTATTCTCTTTATTCATGGATGATTTTGGGTAGAAGAAAATCTAATAGGCTTACTCAGCCGGGTTTACTCGGTTGAGCGCCGGTTGCGCTCCCTGAGTTTGGGGAGTGACTATCTCAAATTTCGAATCTGTCGATCCAAAATGGCCACCGGCTCCACATCATAAGGTAAATCTCCATCTAACTGACCCGTGCTGATGTCCAAAACATATGAAGGATCACCATTGTACTTCCGGAGCATGGAAACATGAAATACTGGGTGAACACTCAATAGACTAGGTGGAAATGTAAGCTTGTAAGCAACCTCTCTAATCCTCTCAAGCACGTCAAAATGGCCAATATACCAAGGGCTTAACTTGCGTTTCTTCCCGAACCATATAATACCCTTCATGGGTGAAACTATGAGCCATAACTTCTCTCCTACCATATAAGAAACATCACGAACTTTCTGATCTTCGTAACTTTTTTGTATAGGCTGTACCGTGTGAAGCCGATCCTGAATCAACCTGACCTTATCCAAAGCATCCTGAACCAAATAAGTACCCAACATCCTAGCCTCACCCGACCCAAACCACCCAACTGGAGACCGACACCACCTCCCATATAAGACCTCATATGGATCCATCTGAATACTCGATTGGTAGTTGTTGTTGTAGGCAAACTCTACAAGTAGTAGAAATGGACCCCTAGAACCCCCAAAATCCATAACACAAGCATGCAACATATCCTCCAATACCCTGATGGTGAGCTCGGACTGTCCGTCCATCTGAGGGTGGAATGATGTACTCAACTCAACCCGTGTGCCTAGATTTCGTTGAACTGCTCTCTAAAACTGCAATGTGAACTGCGTTCCTTGATGAAAAATAATAGACACCACCACACCGTGAAGTTGAACAATCTCGTGGATATAGATCTCATCCAGCTGCTCCGAAGAATAGGTAGTCCCAACTGGAATGAAATGCGCGGACTTAGTCAACGAGTCCACAATCACTCAAATAGTATCAAATTTCTTCAAAGTCTATGGGAGCCCAACAACGAAGTCCATGGTGATACGCTCCCATTTCCACTCAGGAATCTCAAACCTCTGAAGCAAATCGCCCGACCTCTGATGCTCGTACTTTACATGCTGATAGTTCAAGCACTGAGCTACAAACTCCACTATATCTTTCTTCATTCTTCTCCACCAATAGTGCTGCCTCAAGTCCTGATTCATCTTTTCCACACCAGGATGAAGGGAATATCATGAGCTGTGGGCCTCCTCAAGAATCAACCCATGTAACCCATCCACATTGGGCACAAAAATCCAACCCTGCATCCTCACCACCCCATCATCTCCAATAGAAACCTCCTTGGCATCACCATGCTAGACCGTGTTATTAAGGATAAGCAAATGGGGGTCGTCATACTGACGCTCTCTGATGTGCTCATATAAAGAAGACCGAGAAACCACGTAAGCTAAAACCCAACTAGGCTCCAAAACATCTAACCTCACGAACTAATTGGTCAAGGCCTGAACATCTTATGCAAGCGGTCTCTCACCAACATGAATATATGCAAGGCTACCCATCTCACCGCCTTTTTACTCAATGCATCGGCCACCACATTGGACTTCCCAAGGTGATAAAAAATGGTACTATCATAGTCTTTTAACACCTCCAACCATCTCCGCTGCTTCGAATTTAGATCCTTTTGCTTGAACAAGTATTGTAGATTCCGATGATATGTAAATACCTCACAAGACACTCTATAGAGGTAATGCTTCCAGATCTTCAATGCATGGATAATGGTTGCCAACTCAAAATCATGAACGGGGTAGTTGTTTGATAAGTGAGGATTTTGACTACTTATTAGTAACTTTTTGCTTTTGTTTTAGTTCGAAAGTATTGATTTACGTTCCCGAAACTAATGAAATTGTACAAATTGCAGGAATATTAGAAGTTTGGTCTCCCATGATGAAATCGACTAAAAAAGAAGAGTTCTAAAGCACAAGGCATTAAAGGGTGCATAGGTAAAGAAGTGAGGTCCGCGGAAGGAATCACATACCACAAAATTCCATCTGCGGCCACAAAGCAAGCAACAGAACCCAACATGATTTTGACCAATGTGTGGCCACATAACACGACTTTCACTGACAAAAAATCAAAGTTCAGAGAATATGCAAAAAGACCGAGTCCTGACGCCTTGCTGAAGTGCGGACCACAAAAGAACTATCCGGCCGCAGAAGTTGTTTCACAGCCGCAATCTAGAAATGTGCAGCTGCAAAACCCACTCTCCTGCCAGCTGAAGAAATCTGCAGACTACACATGAAATGTGCGACCATAGAACCTCTCGAGGGGAATTTTTGTCAGCGAATTTTTCCCCACTATAAATATACGAGTTTCACAAATTTAGGTAAAAGTTTGAAAGTTAAAAGTTGTTGTAGCCGTTTCCTTTTGCCATTATAGGACGTTTGTGATTATTTTAGTGTATAAACATTATATTTCATCATTTTAATCTTTGATTATGAGTTTAATTAGCTTTTCCTCTTTATTTTCTTCAATTCCCATTATGAGTATCTAGATTCTTACTAGGGTTATGACCTAACCCTAGTGTGTAAATTTTATGGGTATTTAATTTAATGCTTGTTTATGATTAGATGTTGATTATTTAGCTTAGTTCATTCTTCAATTTTAGAATTAATGGTTGCAAACATTGATTCATGCCTTTTTGACTTAGTCTCTACTTGAGAAAGATGGACCTAGTCTAGGATAACTTGGCTAACAAGGAATTGGGCTAATTGAGAGATTGATTAGCCTAATTAAAGAGTTCAAACTAGAGATAGTAAGAACCCGACTTGAGCTCATTTCAACTATTTTGTTTGATACCCATTTGGACTTGAAAAATTCAAATAAGGTAAAATCACTCTCTGATCGAGAGGTATTGAGTGGGTAATGTAGAGTTGAGAGCTATAATACACCCCAATCAACAAAACACGCATTAACGTCTTTATGTGATGCTCCCCGTATTAGGGAGGACAACTTCCAAATCACCAATGTGTTGCTCACTTTACTTGAGCAATGGGGTTTTTTCACCGTTGCTCTAACTCAAAATGCATACAAACATTTAAAGGGGTTAATGGATACTTGTTGGGGGAGCAAACAAACAAATATCTCCGAGGATGCATTTGTGCTAAGGCTTTTTCCCTTCTCTCTACGGGGGAAAGATTTAGATTGGTTGGAATGATTACCGAACCATTCCATTCACACTTGGGATGAGTTGGAGAAAATATTTATTGCTAAGTTCTTCTCTCCCGGGCTCATGGCTACACTTCGAGATGAGAATTTGGCATTCAAGCAAGAGCCGAATGAACTATTACACGAGATATTGGAGTTCTATAGAATGGTGGTTAAGGAATGTACCAACACCGATATGACAAAAAACATGATTCAACAAACCTTATATCATGGGATTAACACACCTAACGAATGTGTAGTGAATCAACTTGCAGGTGCGAACTTTATGACTACACCTTATGCGGAGGCATGTGGGAGTTTGGATGAAATGGCAGAAATGTCATCGGCTTGGTAATCTCGAGCCAATGTTCCACAAGGTGATCCGAATATGATACACCTTCACAAAGAATTGCATGACCACAGGCAAGCCATTGCCGAGTTAACTACTACCATGAATCAACTAGCAAAGGCTCAACTTCATCAAGTGCAAAATCCTAAGCAAGTCAATGCCATGTAATGGATGAACATGATGGTACATAAGAGGAGGACCAAGGGTCCACAAGTGCAAAATTGAGTGGAGAATTATGTGCAAGAGGATAGTGGCTTTGAGCAAGATGATTCCTATAATGAACAAGAATAGTAAGTGCAATATGTTAAGGGCACGGAAACAACTCCCAAGGCCCAAACCAACAACAATGGCGACCTCAAAACAATCAAGGCAATTGGAATTCTAACAATCAAGGAAATTGGAGTGGTGGCAAAAATCAGGGGAATTGGCATAACAACAACAACCAAGGAATTTGAAGTGGAAATAATCAAGGAAATTTGGGGATGGGGAGGGAGNAAGTCAACCGGGGGTCGGGCTTTCAAAGTCCCCCGATGTACCAACAATCGAGCAATCTGTCTCCTTATCATTCACATGGTTCAAGTTCTTCAAACAACAAGATGTGGTGAATTGAAAATATGTTCAAGCAAATGATAGAAAATAATGTCGATTCGAATGCCCAAATTGCCTCACACAACACATCAATCCGCAACCTAGAAGTTCAAATGGGGCAAATCTCTCAAGCACTAAATTCTCGTCCTAAGGGGGCACTACCAAGTGACACGGTAGTAAACCCAAAGGGTGGAAACAGCACGAGACATGCCATGGCCATTACTGCAAGAAGTGGAAGAAGTGGGAATGCACCCAACTCAAGTCAAAAGCAACTTGTTGATGATGATAAAGTGGTGAAAGAAGAGGAAATCTCGAACAATGTAGTGCAGCCTAATGATGAAGTTCGGATCGAAATTGATGATAGCGTGGAAGAGACTCAAGAGGAGGTGAACCCGCCTAGGGATCACGTTATTGACATACCGGAGCCGGTAGTGCAAATGGCTAAGGCACCATTGCCTAAGCCTCCACCTCTATACCCTAAAAGACTTGCCAAGAAAAATGGTGAGAATCAATTCAAGAAGTTCATTCAAATGATGAAGAGTATCTCAATCAATGTGCCATTAGTTGAAGCTTTGGAACAAATGCCCGATTATGCAAAGTTTATGAAGGATCTCTTAACAAAGAAATGATCAATGAATTTGAAACCATCACTCATCAAGTGAGTGCAATTGTGCATTCAATGGCTCCTAAGTTGGAGGATCCCGGTGCTTTCACTATTTCTTTTACAATTGGAAGTGCTGAGTTTGCTAAAGCTCTTTGCGATCTTGGGGCAAGTATCAATTTGATGCCCTATTCGGTTTTCAACACTTTGAGAATTGGGCAACCAAGACCTACCTCTATGAGATTGCAAATGGCCGATCGTACTATGAAGATGCCCTTGGGAGTGATTGAAGATATTTTGGTTTGTGTTGATAAATTCATTCTTCCGGCTGATTTTGTCATTCTAGATTGTGAAGTTGATTATGAGGTACTGATTATTCTTGGGAGACCTTTCCTTGCTACAGGTAAGGCTCTTTTGTGATGTTGAAGCCAGAGAACTTACCTTCCGGGTTGGTGATGAAAAAATGGAATTCCATGTGTGTAAGTCCATGCGGTAACCAAATGTCAATGAGGTGTGCTCTTGTGTGGAATTGGTGACTGATTTTATTGTTGATGAAACAAGTGCTACGATCAATGTTGGTGATATGTTGGAGGACGTCTTGCTCAACTTTGATGATGACGAGATGGATGACTTCATGGAATGTGTGAACTCTTTGCAAGGAATGGGGTCGTACAATT